CCAACAACTACAGCTGCTGCAACAACCACAGCTGCTGCAACAACCACAGCTGCTCCAACAACCACAGCTGCTGCAACGAACACAGCTGCTGCAACAACTACAGCTGCTGCAACAACTACCACAGCTGCTCCAACCAATGGTGCTTCCACAACCACCTCAGCTACTGTTGCAGCTACGACAATTCTCACTGGTACGACTTCAGCAACAACCACAGCATCTTCAGGAGTGACTTATAAAGGAAGTTTCCTTTTAATCACAGCGCTCATTGCATCCGCTATTTTCAACTGACGAAACAATTGTTTAGTATCAAAAAAGTCTACAAACTTAAATGAAGTATTAAAATTTACTATCTTTTTCTTTTCTATAGTATTTCTGTTTGAATTCAATCTTGATATGCATACAGAAATTTCAAATTATTTATTTATTTATTTATTTATTAGTGAATTATTTTTCCTTGGAATATAACATGTATTTTTTGTAACGATACACATTTATACAGAACCATATGAGCCACATTACATATTCATTCAAATATTACACACTGTTACTACATGGTTTTAAAGTATGTAATCCAAATTGTTGTATATTCATGAGTAAGAATTATAACTAAATTTCTTCTCATAATTTTTATTTATTTTATGCAGACTAAAGTTTGGAATTAATTATGTTGCATGTAGTCGTTACAGGCCTGCATGTTGTTACAAATATAATGTTTATTATTATTGCAATAAAGAATACATATACAGTGTTGACGCTTAGTAGTTTTTTTTCTATTCATACCAACTGATAGAAAAATGTATTTCAATCTGAAAAACTCACATGGAGAGAAAAGACAATTAGAAGAAATGTATTGATACTTAGGTTTTTGGCTCTCAGACCTCGGCAGGAAACATAGCGCTTAATTTTGTCTTATATGCATGAACAGGAGTAAAGAACAGGGCTGTTTCCCCCCAGGCCTGAAACTGGTGCTGGAGTGGAGATAGATAAAAAAGGTAGACTGTAGACTGCTGGTTGGCGAGACGGTCTGGCGGACCGGTTGAAATGATAAGCGGAATGAAGTCCGGGATGAATAAAACTCTGATGAAGTTTTAGCTACAATGGTGGAGGAGGGGCTGGAGGTGGGTTCAAACAGGGTCATCTGAATGAAGTCAAACAGCGCAACCACTACCTGAGCACTAGGTAGCAGATGAGTTGCGGATCGGAGGCCATTAAGATGAACTTTGGATGCTGATTGGCTTTCATGGAGGCATGATTTAAAGCTGACTGGCTGTGTCGTAAAGCGGATGAAGGCGAGAAGTCAGTTTATTCAGTTGAACTTCCCCATAGGCTCCATACATTGAAATAGGTTGGGCAAAGAGACCATCCAATTTACAAATTTTGGGAGGAAGGTTACTCTTTAGACTTTATGTTTTACAATAATGAAAAACATGTTTTGAGGAAATCCTTAGAAATCTTTGGAAGTTAGCTCTTTCCATTAGGATTTGCAACCACGATGTCTTCAGCCAGAAAGGGCAGAAAACACATGATGTGACCATGCAATGGGAAACACTTGGAGACATTTTTCTTTTAATTGAAACCTTTAAGTGTCTACAAGTGTATAGGTGGAAAAAGCTGTATTAGTACCATTGAGAGTTTTTATTAAGTTGCAAATGGTACTGACGTATACATTGGGAGTTATTTCCAATAGGGCAAAATGGATTACAAATTATTATAAACCATTTTGTTCCACAGATGCCTACGGAGCCCCCTAGGGGACATGGGGAATTTTTTTTCTTTTGCGTTGCCTCGCAATACTTTTGCGTTACCTCGCAATACTTTTGCGTTACCTCGCAATACTTTTGCGTTACCTCGCAATACTTTTGCGTTCCCTC